TGAATATTTTCCTTTCTTCCACAGTTTCTCTTTCTGCTTGAGATGATATTTTTATTTGTTATTTAATGTTGGTCAAAGTGAAATGAAAATTAAAATTTTAAATCATCATGAATTGTCTATGAAATGTGATGTCTTAATACAAATACAAGAACATTTAATTTTAATGTGGAATCATTAAAATTACTCAATTCATGTTTTGAACATGTGCGTGCATTTGTATCTTGTTCTTACCAGAGGAGTGCARATGCTGCAAAAATCTAATTTAAGGCTGGACATGGTGGCCTATGAATCCCAGCAACTCGGCAAGAGTAGCACAAGTTCAAGGCCAACCTAGGCAACTTAGGGAGATCCTGTTTCCAAAAGCAGGGGGGCGGAATAGGGAGGTAGCTCAGTAGTAGAGCACCCCTGGGCTCAATTCTTATTATGGCAAAATAAACAAGCAAACAAACCCTAACTTAACTGTAGTTTTCTACTTTTTGTTTTGAACCAGGGATTGAATACAGGGACACTTAACCACTTGTTGCGAGGTATCCAGCACCTCAGCAGGGTAATTTTTCCTGTTCAGGAGGGCATAAGCCACCTGAGAAAGTAAAATCTGAAATAATTAGTGAAGAAATAAAAGACAAAATCAGAAAAAAAGATAGTTTTAAATGCAGAGCGCCTGATAGGTCCAGCCCACACAGGAACTGGAGCTGAACAACTAAAAAATGGCTCCTGTGGTTTATGTCAGGGGGGACATCCAAGGCAGGGGTAAGGTTCCAGGRGTGGAGTCTTGCTTCATGATGTCTCGCAGTCAACAGGTTAATTGGCATTTATCTTGGCAGGCTACATCCATCTCTAAGAGGCTACAGCAGGTCACCCCATCTCTGAAGCTGTGAAGGACCTTTTTGAGCAGAGCTATTAAGTTCACAGTGATCTTAATAGCAGGATTGCTGCTATAAGTTCCCAAATATCAGATCTACCCCCCACCAATGGCTCCAATGCTGAAAGGTCCTWATGCATAGTCCCCAGATGGCTCTTGACAACCACTGAGTCACATCCCCAGCCCTTTTTGTTTTATTTTGAGACAGGGTCTTGCTGAGTTGTTTAAGRCTTCACTAAGTCGRTGRGTCTGGCTTTGAACTTGAKATTCTCCTGTCATAGCCTCCCAAGTCACTTGGATTGCCACACCCAGCTTTTAGTTTACCTTCTTGATGGCAGACACATTCCCCCGACCATCAAGGGAAGCTGGTGACTTTTATTTCAAACTCTCTTTGAGTTTCGTTGACGTCCCACTATTGCAGGTCCACTGGGACGCTGTGCTCAGGGAAAAACATGAATGCTATCCTGTGAGTGGGACAACACAGCAACCGTGGGGGACATGCATATCTCATGTAYCTCCGCTCAATGGATTTCGCTTAAAAACACAGTTGAAAGGCACAAATATTTAAATCTCCAGATGGTGTCAGCAGAGCACCTGCTCAAGCACAGTACCCCTCTGAGCATGTGGCTGTGTGTGGCTGCACGGGTTACACGCCCACAAGGCTGGATTTGCCTCAAGGTCTGAAGGACACCAGTGCTTTATGCCAAGACCATTCCCTYCTTTAGAAGTTTTGATACAAGGATCAAGCCTGATTGTCTGCATTCCCAGTTCCTCAGACGTTTCCATATATCAGAACGTAGTGGGTTAGAGTACAGGGGTCACTCAGTGGTACAGTACATGCCTGGCAATTGTGAGGTCTGGGGCTCTATCCTAAGCACTACAAACAAAAACAAGAAAACCTAAGTGGGTGAGCAGGTTCACTCTWAGCGAACTCGAGCCACTTGTCCTTATGCAAAGAGGATAATACTCCAGCATCTGCCCCCAATTCTTAACCATGAACAGCCTCACTGAAGGCTTAGGACAAACTGCCTCACACTGTTCCTCTGCTGGTTCTGACAAGCTCCGCAGCACTGCCCTCTGCTGGCTCCCCTGGAGAACATTCGTGTTCTCTTAGATTAGATGGGTGCTTCTCAAACTTTAACTTACCAARAAATCACCTAAGGATCTTGTCAAAATGCAAACTCTGCATCAGCAGCTCTGGGATGGGGCTTGAGATTCTGCATTCTTAAAAGAATCTAGGAGATACTGCTGTCTGTGGGTCACTTTTTGAAMTGCAAAGCACAAGATGTCTCTAAGCATCTCTACTGTTCTGACCTTTAGCTTCATGGTTTAATCCTCTTCATGGATTGTGGTTCTCTCTTCCACTCTCTGCCCTGCTCTGCTCCTGGCCACCACAACATCCTTCTCAGGTTAAAATATTCAGTTGTCCCTCCCAGGTCCTAAGGTCCAGGATGCACCAGCTAYGCCCCTTGGAACTAGCTTGTCCCAACAGTTGGCACAGAGTTAGTTTCATATCTTTGCTTTTCACAAATGAATGGCTTGGATTGGGCCCTGGTGATGGGACCAGGTAGGGGCACACATAAATTAGACAGGACCCCTCAGATCAAGGAGTTGTTATTCATCTTCCATAGTGACCAAGTGCGCACCCATGTGAGTGGCTAAAGTCCTGGGCTGGGAACTGCTTAAAGAGAAGATTCATAGAGTCTCTTGATGTGATAGGCTCTATTCTGCTGGGTCAGGCTTTACCTGATGTGTCCTTTACGAAAGAGGGCTGGGTATTGAGAGTGGGGTGAAGTTTTCCAGACTTCTCCACTGAGAGATTTGGACTTCAAATGGCCTTGGTGAGATTCATTCTACACAACTGCGAGTGAGGCCATCAAAGTAGCCTTAGAAAGGCTCTACCACTCATCCTCACGTCTTGTCCAAGAACAGAAGGAACAACCTCCAATGGTGCTCTTGGGCTATGTTCAGTCCCCCTGGGAAATGAAACTGACCAAATTATATGGTTAGGCCGTACGAATATATGAATAAATAACAATGAGTCAGCTATTATATAAGGCACCCATCAAAAGGAAACAAAAAAAGTGGGACCCCCTGCACCTGGAGGGGTGTGTTCTCCCCTTCCCCCATCTCCCTTCCACTCCCCCTCCCCCTCCAATTCCCCTCCCCCTCCACTTCCC